AATAACTGCACGATGGTCCGACATTGGCCTCCACAACGACGTCGTCTTCCATGCAAGAGATCTCTGGTAGATGAGAGAACAGACATGCATTCTGATTAGGTGTTTCTTCCCTAGCTAATTCGTTTCGATTAGAAAAATGATGAGTTCACGTTTTCTGAACATTGGGTCATTAAACTAATTTCGGTTATTATTATTATTATTATTATTATTATTATTGTTTATTGGAATATTCTTTTGGTTATTTTGTGTTATTATGATTTCTTGTTAAGGAAGTAATCGGTTAGGAGTTGGTCTAGGATTGGGTTTCCTTGTTTGAGAGGGAGAGGGTTATGTGACTTGTCCTACAAATATGTACTTTACCTCTGCGTTTTATTCACTAGAAAATAATAAATCAGTTCTTTCAGTTTTTCTTAGTTTCTCGTTTACGAAATCCCGACACGTGAAACGTTCACGTGTCAATTGATATCAGAGCCTGCTTCTAAAGAACCTAGGAGCCGAGCACCATGCCGCCAAAGAAGAACAACACGAGTTCTTCTTCAATGGAAGTCGTCGCTGACGACGTCAGGCAGTAGATCCGGGACGCCGTGGAACGTATCGCCGACCTTGATCAACAGCTGCACACCACCGAGGGAGAACGCGTACAACTCCGAGCTGATGTCACGCACCTCAAGGTCGCGCAGTCTGTGCTCCAAAACGAGGTTCGCCAGGTGCGCAAGGAGCTGCAGCAGGAACTCGAGCAGGTAAGCGAAACGTTGCACGGGGAGATAAGGCGCGAATTGGAGAGGAACGGGGACGCGACCAGAGCTGGGTGAAGGGGGGAGGACTCGAACCAGCGAGGAGTCGGCTACCGCGTGGTTCAAGGGCCGAACTGCGATCTTGGAATTCCCCAAATTTACCGGACAAGAAGAGCCTTCAGGATGGATGGCTCGGGTTGAGAAGTACTTCAGGTATCAGGACATTCCCGAAGAGCAGAAGGTAGCCTTGGCATCGTTTCACATGGAGGGAGATGCCAGTCAGTTGATCATGTGGATTGAAGAAGAGTTTGCCCAGGAAGGGATGATAATGACATGGGAAGATTTCCGTGTAGAGTTTTGGAAAAGGTACGGGGCATCGGAGAAGGCGGCGGGACACGAGGCCCTGGCCAAAATTCGACAGACAGGCACTGTTGAAGATTACCGGCAGGCTTTTGAGAGGTTAATAAACCGCTGCCACGAATGGAGCAAAGATGCGGTGATGGGTACTTACATGAGGGACTCAAGCACGAAATCTCGGCGTACATTCGCGCATTCGAGCCACGAAACACTGGCGATGCATACCGCTTGGCAAAAATCCGTGAAGAAGAAATTAAGTTGGAGCGAGGAGCCATGAGAGGGTCGCGCGCACAGGGCACAGGGGGCCACGAGATGACTGTCAATCCAGCACCACCGCCACTGCAAGCTCCACCGAATCGACCGGCTCCACCAAATGGGAGGCGAGTCTTTAGGCATCTGACTCCGGAGGAAGCTACTAAACGCCGTCGTGATGGCCTTTGTTATAACTCTAATGAGAATTTCACAATCAGCCATCGCTGCGTTAACAACCAAGTGTTTTCTTTGATCGGGGATTTCGGCCGTGATGAAGGAGAGTGGTTCGAGGAAGATGTGCGACCTCGAGACGAGATCGCTTGAAGGGGGGAGGATTGATGAGTTCACGTTTTCTGACCATTGGGTCATTAAACTAATTTCGGTTATTATTATTATTATTGTTGTTGTTGTTGTTGTTGTTTATTGGGATATTCTTTTGGTTATTTTGTGTTATTATTATTTCTTGTTAAGGAAGTAATCGGTTAGGAGTTGGTCTAGGATTGGGTTTCCTTGTTTGAGAGGGAGAGGGTTATGGGACTTGTCCTATAAATATGTATTTTACCTCTACGTTTTATTCACCAAAAAATAATAAACTAGTTCTTTCAGTTTTTCTTAGTTTCTCGTTTGCGAAATCCCGACGCATGAAACGTTCACGCGTCAAAAAAATACAATCAACAACACTTATTATCCTTATATATATATTAATGCAATAAAAAAAATACGAAATCTCTCTGCTCGATCTTATTAATTAATTAATGTGGATGGCAGCACTTAACGACTGCATCGGTGAAGGGGGAAATCTCAGCTAAAGTGAGATCTCATTCCTGTAAGATGTATGTCCTCAGTCCCAACTAAAACCTGAACTAGGAATCGCCGGCGGCCGAACGAAAGGGTCAATCACATACTTGTTTTGTTTTATTTCTTTTTGGACGAATAAAATTCCTCTGTTTCTCCTTGCCAGAGAGCAAAGAATTGTAGCTCCTTAATTACTAGAAATGAGCATATGCTAGTGTGTCTAGCTAGTGGGAAACAACAAAGTTGGCAAACTCTACAGGTTCAGTAGCCTTTTGGTAATCTGTAATGTTAAACCTCGTTGCTCAAAGAAATGTACTTATTCTTTACTTGAAATATATATTCATGAGGTTACTGTTAACTTTAACGAAACTCACAAAAATCAAAGAGACGAACACACAGATTTAACGTGGTATCCCTGGAATGCCAGGACTAATCCACGGGAGAGTCTCACTCTCCAAAACAGAAATTCCACTTGGTTTTCGTAGTCGGTTCGGATAAGTACAAAGGAACATAAATAGGCTTAGCAAACCCTACCATTTACACGAATGCTTCTGCATGGATCTTGGGCCAATAAAATCCTACTTACACATCACCCTATTGGCCTATTAAAATAAACACGTAATCCGCTAAAAGCCTCCCCCAAATTGATGTCGGGAACGAAGCATCAATTTTCTCGAGAGGTGCCAATGTCTGCTACTAGTGAACGACTTAGTGAATATATCTGAAATATGATCCTTCGTCCGAATGTAGTGAAGTTGAACAGAACCATCTCATACTAAGTCACGAACATAATGAACATGAAGCTCAATGTGCTTCGTGCGATCATGTAGAACATGGTGTTGTCACTGGTGTTGTCCACAAACAACTCAAGAGGAGCCGAACAAGTGACTCGAAAATCCCCTAAGAGCCTGTGAAGCCAAACAAGCTCCAAACACACATCGGGCATAGCTCTATATTCATCCTCGGTGGAGGACTTAGAAACCTTGTCCTGCTTCTTACACCGCCATGAGATAAAAGCTCCAGCAAACTGAAGACACCACCCCGTGGTAGAGCGGCGAGTATCGATACAGCCTGCAAAGTCAGAATCCGAAAAAAGCACGCAGATCAGGTGTACCAGTAGAAGGGAAAAACATACCAACATCGAGAGTGCCCTTCAGATAACGTGGAATCTGGTGTGCTGCCGCCAAGTGATCCGTAATCATAGTTCGAGTAGGAGATTCTGGGTTAGCCGACAGCCTTTCTTATCAAATTGGGGTTCACACGACGAATGCGATCAGTGCGAGGTGCGGCCATGAACTGACTGACAATCTGAACCGCGTATGATATATCAGGTTGAGTGGCTGCCAAATAAATAAGACTCCCGACCAAACTGCGGTAACGCGAACCATCAGGCAAGAGATCCCAGACTCACGGCTCAACTTCAAGTTGAGCTCCATCGGTGTGCTAACAGGCTGACTATCCTCGAAGTGATGGTCACTCAATAAGTACCCAACATACTTTCGTTGATTGAGAAGAATACCCTGATCACTGCGATTAATTTCCAACCCAAGTAAGTACGTTAATTCCCCCAAATCCTTCAATCGGAACGCATCCTATAGGCCATGTTTAAGACTAGCTATACCGCGCACATCATCTCCTGTCACCACCATGTCATCGACGTATAATAAGAGAACAACAATGCCAGCAACCGAGGTCTTAGTGAAGAGGGGCGGGTCACTCAAACTCCGACGCATACCAAGCTGTAAAATAAAATAGTAGATTGAAACTTCTCAAACCAGGCTCGGGGAGCCTGTTTAAGTCCATATAGTGACCGATGAAGTAAGCACACCTGACCCGATAACCCAACATTGTAGCCAGGAGGTTTCTCCAAATAAACAACCTCCTTTAAGTCTCCGTGCAAGAACGCATTCTTAATGTCGAGCTGAAATAATGGCCACTGTCGGAGAGAGGCCACAACAAGAAGGGTGTGGACAGTAGTCATCTTCGCCACTGGCGCGAACTTCTCGTCAAAATCGATACCTTGTTTCTGTGAGTAACCTTGTGTCACAATTCTGGCCCTATGACGTTCAAAGCATACAACCATCGAGAACCAATAACTGGCACCTCAGGTGGCGGACGATCCACAACCGTCCAAGTTTTATTGGCATGTACCGCATCTATTTTAGTTTTCATAGTGTTGAGAAACCGGGCAGCAACCACAAGCAAGAATAGAATGCACAAGACACACGATTTTTACGTGGAAAACCCAAATCGGGAAAAACCACGGGACCTTTGTCCAAGCCACAACTCCACTAGACTTTGGTGGGATTACAAGTCCTCTCTAGACTAGCTAGAGGATTACAAACACCTCAAGAACACCCTTCTTGGATCAACAATCAACCACAATAGCTCTCACCAACATGGTGGATAACAAGAACAAGAGCAAGACAAAGAGAGGTTGAGAAGTACCCAAAAACAGATTCGTACACCTTCTGTCCAGCAGCGATTTCCGACTAACTGGACCTCCGAATGACGATCCCTTCGGTCAGAATGAAGCCCAGACAATTTTGAACCCACTGCCCAAATTTCAGGACGATCCAACGGTTTAATCTTCCAGAATGCTCACTTTAACAGGATGCCCTGCTGCAGAAACGAAAAACAGCAGCTCTTTCTCTCTTCTCTCCTTTTCCTTATCTCTTCTCTTTTCTGATTCTCTCTCTCTAGGAAGATGAAAGGCTGTCACCACTTTTTACTTTTAAGTAGACAATAACTCTCTATTTTGAAAATAGAGGATCTTCTAGAAACCCACCAAAACTCAAACTCAAACCGGTTAATCCAACCACCATATGAGTTGGACCAACCCAACAAATCTCCCCCTCCAGCTCATATGGGGGGTAGCACCAAACCTGCTTCATCTCGACAGAAGATAAGTTTTCCACTTGGTAGAGACTTAGTCATCATGTCCGAACCATTGTCATCCGTATGCACTTTGTTGAGCTCCAACAACTTCTCTTCCAAAACATCACGAATCCAATGATATCGAACATCTATGTGTTTCGACCTTGAGTGGAAAGTTGGATTCTTGCAAAGATGAATTACACTTTGACTATCACAATAGAGCACATACCTCTCTTGCTTAATGCCCAACTCTTGAAGAAACTTCTTCAACCATAACATCTCTTTGCAAGCTTCTGTCACGGCTATGTATTCGGCTTCTGTTGTTGATAATGCAACACATTTTTGCAGTTTAGATTGCCATGAAACTGCAGCACCTGCAAAAGTCATCATGGAACCAGAAGTCGACTTTCTAGAGTCCACATCACCTGCCATGTTAGCATCGGTATATCCATCAAGTATGGTCTTGCCATTACCAAAGCATAGACACACTCTAGAAGTACCTCTCAAGTAGCGAAGAATCCACTTCACTGCTCTCCAATGTTCTTTCCCCGGATTGGAAAGAAACCGACTAACAATCCCAACGACATGAGCAATATCCGGCCTTGTGCAAATCATGGCATACATCAAGCTTCCAACAACTGATGCATAAGGCACATTCTTCATTGCTTCTTTCTCTTCATCACTTGTAGGACAATGCTTCACACTCAACTTGAAATGTCCTCCAAGTGGAGTACCAACCGCCTTAGCCTTGCTCATGTTGAACCGCTCAAGAACTCTTTCAATATACCTTTCTTGAGACAACCAAATTTTTCCATTCCTTCGATCCCTAGAGATTCTCATCCCTAGAATTTGTTTCGCCGGTCCTAAGTCCTTCATGGCAAAGGATTTACTCAACTCCTTTTTCAATCTATCAATCTCTCCAACATTCCGACCCACGATCAACATATCATCCACATAAAGCAAGAGAATGATGAAATCATTTTCATCAAAGTATTTCCACAAACACACAATGATCGGAGGTAGTTCTTGCATACCCGTTTTTGACCATGAATGAGTCAAATTTCTTGTACCATTGCCTTGGTGCTTGCTTCAACCCATATAAGCTCTTTCTCAATCTGCATACAAGATCTTCTTTGCCTTTAACCTCGAACCCTTCCGGCTGATCCATGTATATCTCTTCCTCTAAGTCACCATGAAGAAACGCCGTCTTCACATCGAGTTGTTCAACTTCCAAGTCCAAACTTGCAGCCAACCCAAGCACAACTCGGATAGAGGACATCTTCACCACGGGAGAGAAAATTTCTTCAAAGTCAACACCTTTCTTTTGGTTGAAACCCTTCACAACTAGTCGCGCCCTAAACCGAGGCTTTGAACTAGTTTCCTCCGTCTTTAACTTGTAGACCCACTTGTTCTTAAGTGATCTTTTTCCTTTGGGTAGTTTAACCAAATCATAGGTGTGATTCTCTTGCAAAGAATTCATCTCTTCTTGCATTGCTTTGTTCCACTCCTCCTTGTCTTCATGAGACATGGCTTCTTGATAATATTCGGGTTCTCCCCCGTCAGTCAACAATAGGTACTCATGAGGGGAGTACCACGTGGAAGCTTTGCGATCTCTTGTTGACTTTCTTGGTTCGGATAGAGGTTGCTCTTCTTCAACTTGTTCTTCTTGCTCCAATTGCTCTTCTCCTTGCACTTCTTGATCTAGTGCACCTTGGGGCTCATCATGCACTACTTCCTCAACATTTTCATGCATTTGGGATGGAGATATAGGCTCCAAATTAACCGGACCAGATGTTGTATTTTTCTTCTTTTCAACCCTTTCGACGTCTTCACTTGTCTCATCTTCAAGAAAAATCACATCCCGACTCCGAACAATTTTCCTTGCAATTGGATCCCATAATCTGTACCCAAACTCTTCACGCCCATAGCCCATGAATATACATGGCTTTGATTTGTCATCAAGCTTTGCTCTCTCATCTTTTGGAACATGAACATAGGCTTTGCAACCGAACACTCGCAAGTGTTCATATGAGACTTCCTTTCCCGTCCATACTCGTTGAGGCACATCACCCTCCAATGGGACTGATGGTGAGAGATTGATTAAATCAACCGCTGTCCGCATTGCTTCTCCCCAAAATGATTTAGGTAGTTTGGCATATGAGAGCATACACTTGATTCTCTCACAAATTGTTCTATTCATCCTCTCGGCGACACCGTTTTGTTGTGGAGTCTTGGGTACACTTTTCTGCAGTTTAATTCCGTGCAATCTGCAGTAGCTTTCGAATGGACCTCTATACTCTCCCCCGTTATCAGCCCTTACACACTTCAACTTCAGGCCAGTTTCCCTTTCCACTTCAGCATGAAATTGCTTGAAAACATCTAGCACTTGATCCTTCGTTTTCAAAGCATATGTCCACACTTCCTTGAGTGATCATCGATGAAGGTAACATAATAGCTTACACCACCAAGAGTTTTATCTCGCATAAAACAAACATCGGTGTGAATTAGATCAAGTACCTTACTCCTTCTAGAAGGTGGAAATCTATGAAATGCAACTCTATGAGTTTTTCCGGCTAAGCAATGAACACAAGTTTTAAGAAGAGTACCTATAGCTCCGGGCAAGAGTTGTTTCTTGGACAATATTTGCAGCCCCTTCTCGCTCAAATGACCGAGTCTCTTATGCCAAAGCTCAATGGAAGAATCTTTCTCAGCAACATTGATTCCTCCCTTGCTATGCTTTGCATTCGTCATGTAGAGCGTACTTTCCTTCTTGCCTTTAGCCACCACAGGAGAACCTCTTGAGAGCTTCCATTTTCCTTCTCCAAAATAGTTGGTATAGCCATCATCATCAAGCTTTCCCGTGGATATCAAATTCAGCCTCATGTCAGGAACATGTCTCACATCCTTCAAGACTAGCTTGCAACCCGTGTTGATCTCTAGATGAATATCACCCATGCCAACAATCTTTGATGCGCCATCATTTCCCATCCTCACACAACCATAGTTACCGTTTGTGTAGGAAGAGAAAAGATCAACCCGTGAGGTCACATGAAATGAGGCACCTGAGTCAATAACCCATGTACTCTCCTGACAAGCAAGGTTAACAAAACCGGCATCACAAACAATGACTACATCACCATCTGTGGCAGCAGCAGCAGTATCATCTTTTTCTCGATTTTCCATACCTTTTCCTCTAGCTTGTTCCCGTTTCAAGATTCTGCACTCTCTCTTCATGTGTCCGGGCTGGTTTCAATGATAACATGTGATTTCTCCTCTTTGTCTTGACAATGATTTTGATCTCCCTTTTGATCTCCCTCGGCTGTTACTTCGATTCTGAGAGTTCTTGAAGTTGAAATTTCGATTTCTACTTCTTCCACGACTTCCAGAATTATCCGCCACCAAAGCATGTGACTCTGATGTAATCCCCAACTCTTTTCTCCTTGCCTTTTCATTCAACATGATATTGTCCCTCGTCAACTTGCCATTAGGTGCTGAGTTGCTAAGTGAGACCACCAAAGTCTCCCAACTATCCGACAAAGAACTGAGAAGTAACAATGCTTGCACTTCATCATCAAGTGCTAACTTCATAGTAGTTAGCTGGTTCACAAGGCCTTGAAAGTCACTCAAATGCTCCGAGACACTATGCCCATCCTTGTACTTCAAGTTCACAATTCTTCGAATGAGTGAGGCTTTATTTTGAGCCAATTGCCTCTCATACATGGACTCCAATTTCTGCCACAATTCATCTGCACTTGTATCTTTTGCAACATGATGAAAGATGCTTTGGTCAATCCATTGTCGAATGATTGCCACCGCCTTTCTATGCAAGACCTCCCATTGCTTCTCGGTCTTGTCTTCCGGCTTCTCGCTGCCATTTTCAATTGGCTCATAGAGATCCTTGCAAAACAAAATATCCTCCATCCGTGGCTTCCAAATAGAGTAGTTGGATGATGTCAACTTAATCATTGCTCCACTTGAGTCATCCATTCTTGCCATTCACCAAACACAGCCCCCCAAACAACCTAATACTCTGATACCACTGTTGAGAAACCGGGCAGCAACCACAAGCAAGAATAGAATGCACAAGACACACGATTTTTACGCGGAAAACCCAAATCGGGAAAAACCACGGGACCTTTGTCCAAGCCACAACTCCACTAGACTTTGGTGGGATTACAAGTCCTCTCTAGACTAGCTAGAGGATTACAAACACCTCAAGAACACCCTTCTTGGATCAACAATCAACCACAATAGCTCTCACCAACATGGTGGATAACAAGAACAAGAGCAAGACAAAGAGAGGTTGAGAAGTACCCAAAAACAGATTCGTACACCTTTTTTCCAGCAGCGATTTCCGACGAACTGGAACTCTGAATGACGATCCCTTCGGTCAGAATAAAGCCCAGACAATTGTGAACCCACTGCCCAAATTTCAGGACGATCCAACGGTTCAATCTTGCAGAATGCTCACTTGAACAGGATGCCCTGCTGCAGAAACGAAAAACAGCAGCTCTTTCTCTCTTCTCTCCTTTTCCTTATCTCTTCTCTTTTCTGATTCTCTCTCTCTCTCTCTCTCTCTCTAGGAAGATGAAAGGCTGTCACCACTTTTTACTTTTAAGTAGACAATAACTCTCTATTTTGAAAATAGAGGATCTTCTAGAAACCCACCAAAACTCAAACTCAAACCGGTTAATCCAACCACCATATGAGTTGGACCAACCCAACACATAGCAGCTTCCCAGAGAGGGTCACCCTTAGCCTGCTTATAGCATGTGGGAACAATAAAAGCATCAATTCCAAATGACACATAATCATGATAACGAGGTGGGGGCTGACCTTGGGTGGCCCGTAGAGATCGACGAAAAGCAGGTAGTTCAGCTGGAGGCGGAGACGCGGGTATATCCTCATCCGAACTGGTCAAAGGTGCAGTGGAAACACTACCCGACGAGGACTGCGGGGAACTCAAACGTGTTGATGATGAGGCGAGAGACAAGCTAGCTGAGCCTTGCGGGGAGTGAGATTGATTGGGAGGCAGCGGAGAGGGAGGACCTTCAGGAGGTGGCGGAGCATTAGCTAAATCAATGTCATCATCATCAAAAGTAGGCAACGTGGTGATGCATTGACAGATCAAGCATCGCAGCACAAGAACGATAAATAAACTAAAACAACTAAATTAGGGGTTTTCTTCTTCATTGACTTACTGTAAACGGAAGACAACGTACATATATATAGTACAAGACCTTAAACCTAATAAATAAACCTAATGCTACTCGATCACATACTTGGCCGCCACTCCACGAAACCCTTCATACCCTCACCCTTCCCTACGTAACTCGGCAGTCCAATACCCCAAGACCCTACTAATTACTAAGCCCACTAATAATAAAACTAGACCTAACTGAACTGAAACCCATCGTAAGTTATAATGCAACAATCCTCCCCCCTTCGAAGAACTTCGAGGAGTCCCCGAAGTTCAAGCAACGTCTCAACCCGGATCAATGATGAAGTAGCTCCCTCGCAGCTTGTGGTAGGCGATTGTGAAAGGGGAGTGACAATGATTGCGTTTGCGGTACTTCCAGTTCAACTTCAGCACCCCATCCCATCCTCCAATGTGGACTGCTTCAATCCGACCCAAATCACTCCCACCTGGATCGAAACACATGATGCTTCCTGACCAAACAATATACCCATCCTCCCATGCAGCTAGCGTCCCGTGGTTAAAGGCAGCATTGCCCACGTACACCTCTTCTGACCGCATAGCCTTCCAAGAATCGTCATGCCCTGTAGGACACTCCTTAGTGGAGACACTAATTGGAAGCTCCTTATATGAATTGATGGAAACTCCTAACATTGCCTCTCCGAAAACCTCCCTGCTCCCACGTATTTTCAACTTAACGCCATATTTCGAGCAATCAAATGGAGCATTGGTGTCCCTTCCCTGCACAGAGCCAAAATCAGCACCGACTGTGTTGATGCCGTATAGAAATCCTCTAACCAATCCTCCCATTCGCGGCCCAACGCACCCTTGAATGGCTGAGCCAACTTTTGCACGACATCCATCCTTCAAATCAAAAGCTCCGTGTTCGAAACTGGTTAGGGATGGATGATCTTGCACGTCATCCTCCGCTGTCGAACTCCATTCAGGTTCCTCTCGAATCTTCCATGTAATGAAAATATCTCCACCATTACCTTGCTCCGATCTCCCCACAGGAGACCTCGCTAACTTCGGCGATTGAACCACTAGCGAGGAAGACTCCAAGGTGTCAGAATCGGTGACCGAACCCGCAGCTGGGTTTAGTTCCTTTCCGGTTGGGATTCCGGTCATGCTATGTTGTGGTCCAAGACCTTCAGTTAACATGTTGCTCGCCATAGTGACCAGTGCGGTCGTCGTTTCGTCAACAATCACTTCTCCCTTGGGGGCAACGGCTACCACAGCAGCAACAACATCATTCTGCCACCGCTTCCTCTTGTTCATGCAATAGCAGCGCCTCCCCCCTTCAGCCGTGACTGCCATCGATCGCGGTGGTGCGGAGCTTCCAGTCTCAACACCGTGCGACAGTGCTAGATTTGTCGGAGCTGCTTCACGACGTTGTCGATCACGCTCTTGTTGAAGCTTCTTGAACTCAGCAATCCTCTCGGTGGCCTCGCAAAAGCCTCGCACGGTGACCCTTTCGGCATTATACCAAAAACTCATGGCTGAATTTTCCCAATCCATTGTTACCACTGCCACTTGTTTGAGCCACTCCCCGCCAAGGACGAGGTCAACCCCATGAATCGGAAGCTCGTACAAGTTTACTTCAAGCCATACACCTTGTACGTAAATTGGAACGGCCTTGTAACAATGCTCACAAACCAAGAATTCTCCGTTTGCTGTCTTGACCTTGAACGGAGGAATCGGTGTAGCCTGCAAGGCTAAAACCTTGGCGACGTCGGGGTTTATGAAGTTGTGCGTCGAAAACCCATCGACTAGGGTGACCACGGGTTCTCGATGGATTGTCGTGTCGAGTCGGAGGGTTGCTGAGTTCCAATCTTCGGCAAGAGTAGAGAAAGAGACCTCGGCATTGATCGAAATAGGAGGTTTATCCAGTGGTTTGTGGATCTTGAATGGCGAAGCTACGATTAGCTTCTTCGCTGGTGGCACCTCGGTAGGCGATCCGTCCACCTTGTCATTGCGGAGTGTGGGTGCGCACAGGACCTCTTCCCGACGTTGGTGGCCGAACGTCGACGATGTCTGCCCTGGGAGCTGGTAAGAGCTCGGTTCTTTCGAACCAGGCTCTGATACCAATTGATGCATTGACGGATCAAGTATCGCAGTACAAGAACGATAAATAAACTAAAACAACTAAATTAGGGGTTTTCTTCTTCATTGACTTACTGTAAACGGAAGACAACGTACATATTTATAGGACAAGACCTTAAACCTAATAAATAAACCTAATGCTACTCGATCACATACTTGGCCGCCACTCCACGAAACCCTTCATACCCTCACCCTTCCCTACGTAACTCGGTAGTCCAATACCCCAAGACCCTACTAATTACTAAGCCCACTAATAATAAGACTAGACCTAACCGAACTGAAACCCATCGTAAGTTATAATGCAACACGTGGACAAAAAAGGAAGGAACAAAGGTTCGGGATCAATAGGGGAGAAAAATTTGAAGTGTTCAAAGAAGACCACAGTGGCAGCTATACGAACACGTCGAAGCTCAGGATCATAACAGATGTAACCTTTGTGTACATCACTATACCCGAGAAATGCACACCGCACAGTCTTAGTGGTTTAGTGGACAGCTTGAAGCGTTCCTTCCCCGACATAAGAACAAAACACAAACACTCAAAAACTTGAAGACGAGAGTAATCGGGATGACGAGAATACAAAGCAAAATATGGGCTGACATTCTGAAGAACAGGGGTGAGCTGATAATTAATAAGACGAACTGCAGTAGCAACAACTTCGGGCCAAAACTGGACGGAACTTGAGACTTAAGAAGGAGGGCACGAGTAAGATCAATAACATGTCTATTCTTACGCTCAACAAGACCGTTTTGCTGGGAAACACCTGGACAAGACTTCTGACAGAGAGTTCCTAGAGATCGATATAATGCCAGTAACGGGCCGGAACTAAACTCAGCACCAGGGTCAGATCTTAGAATTTTGACGGGTTTATTAAACTTAGTTTGCACCATTTTTAAAAACTCCTCGGTAACGACACGAAGGTAAGATTTTAAGCGTAAGAAATAAACCCATGTATACCTGGTAGTATGGTCAATAAACAAGGCAAAATATCGATTGCCATGCCGGGAAAGAACGGACGAAGGGCCCCACAAATCGGAATGCACAATATGAAAATGTATTGAAATCATAGTGGAACTGGATGGAAAAGAAATACTGATCGTTTTAGCTTCAACACAGCTTGTGCAGTTATGTTTGGATACTGTTGGGACATTTTTGTTTCCTAACAATGACTGACGAAACATTTGCAAAAGTCGACCGGAGTTTGGATGACCTAACCGAGAATGCCACAAATCCCAGACATTACTCGACTCACTAGGAATACTTGAAAAACTTGACACCAAAGGACTTGAACTCGAAGCAAAATGTAAGGCAGAATGACTACTGAAGAGACTACGAGAAACATTGCCCCCCGTAAATGATGATGATGGACGAGTAAGTTCCTCGAGCTGAAATAGCCGCCCCCTCTTACTCCCTCTGCCGATATGCCTCTCCGTCTTCAGGTCCTGCACAACACAACCAGACGGTGCGAATGTAACCGAACACCCTTGATCAGTAAGTTGTCCCACAAAGACTAAGTTTGACACTAGCTTAGGGACATGTAAAGTTTCGGGAAACTCAATCTTATTTTGGCGAATACACCCCAAGCCATTAACCATTAAATTTGCACCATTGGCTACCTTCAAATGCATATGACTAATGGGCTTCATATTCTTTAACTCATCAGAATCATTAGTCATATTGTTAAAACATGTCGAATCAAGGAGCCAGGGTGATGAATTTTTACCTGTCACCTGAAGAGTAGCGAAGGCTGAACTGATGGCTGCGAGAGACTTCTGCAAAGCAGCATGCACCAATTTTTCAATATCGGCAGCCAAGACTCCAGAACTACTCCCATCGGCCAGCTGAGTACAGTGATGGCACGACAGCTCGAACATGGGAACGCGACGCTGAAAGTGAGGACGACCAACTGCGAAAGCAGCATCCGCATCCGCACCAGTAACAGCAGCCACAATTGCCGACTCACCATCACCCAGTCGGAGGTCTAGCTTTGCTTGAGTTCGAAGCCGTGTCTCCTCTCTAATCAAATCTCCGAACATACCATCCATTGATAACTCCCCACGATGAATTATAGTTGACCTAATGGCCTCAAACTCAGTTCTCAACCTCATCAAAAAATGGAGCAGGCGCGCATGTTGCCTTTCCGCGATGATGACAACAGACGTCGCGGCTGGGCGTAGAGCAGCCGTGAGAAGATCCTCTTCGGTCCAGAGCTCCTGTGCGGCGGTCAAATACGCCGTAATGTCACGATCACCTTGTTCTAACCTGTCCAAAGAACATTGCACCTCGAATTGACGTGCGGCACTTGCGGTGGAGTACGTATCTTTCAATTGTCTCCACCTTGCATTAGCTGTAGTATGCATACGAAGACTAAGCAGAATATTGTGATCAACAGAACCTAAAATCCAGGATCTCACCCAGGCAGGCATCGTGCAAAGTCCAACGAGAGATCTGTTCTTCAGTGGCCGGAGCAACCGACTTTGGTACCATCCCATCCAGGACCCCGATGAGTTCCTTCCCTTCCACAAAAACACGAAATTGAAACTCCCAGATCATGTAGTTCTTCGGGTTGAGGCGGATCGATAGCCTCTCAGAATTATTTGTTGAAAGCTCTAATACCATGTTAACTTTAACTAAACTCACAAAAATCAAAGAGACGAATACACAGATTTAACGTGGTATCCCTGGAATGTCAGGACTAATCCACGGGAGAGTCTCACTCTCCAAAACAGAAATTGCACTTGGTTTTCGTAGTATGTTCGGCTAAGTACAGAGGAACATAAATTGGCTTAGCAAACCCTAGCATTTACACGAATGCTTCTCCATGGTTTGCATGAGCCTTGGGCCAATAAACTCCTACTTACACATCACTCTATTGGCCCATTAAAATAAACACGTAATCCGCTAACAGTTACTTCAACAGTTAGTCAAATTATCTCCCACCAGAGGTGGTATGCTGATGACACCCATCATCACCTGAGGTTCGCTCCTTCATACTTAGTCAATTTTACCCCATCTTGCCACATCAATAATTCAATATGGATATCTGATAACCAACCTCTCATCACATCATGAGGCTACTCCATACCTAGTCAGTTATACACTATGTACCCCCTTCCCCCCCGCGCGTCATGGTCCTCCACCAATTTATATCTCATCTCTGCACATTCACGACCCTCCTATCACATTAGCTAGGGTGGGTACTCCATAGTTATCGAATTTTTTATTCCAACTTATTGCACTAATAAACCCCTCATTGTCATACCAGGAGTATGTGAAAATACCCCCAATCACATGAGGGGGCCTCGCCACACTTAATATAATTTTGGAGTGTATGACGTACTAGGGTGCCACATGTGTAATGGCATGGGCCTAAATGTCCAAACCATGCGCCACATCTTAATTTCTTTCAAGTTGGTCTTATAAAACCATTTAATCTCTTGTATTAAACCTACAAGTCAAGATGTATTGGCTTAACAACTTTTATTTATCGACTACTGCACATGTCAAGATGTAGTTTAGACAATTGTTTCGGTTTAATTTCGTCGTAAAGGGAATTCGGTATGTTAGTTTAGTACAGTTGGTACAGAGTCTATGACAAAATAAAACTACTTAAACTAAACTCATTAAATTTTTTTAGGGCTAATACCACTAGGAAACCCGAACTATTAAGAATGTGTCATTTGTGTCGTAAAGTATCCCATATGACATTTGTGTCCTAAATTATTTTTCCGTTAGAGTTTACTTGCGTTGACCGTTAGTTTTTAACAGAAAGTCTAGTCAGCGCTGATTGACATCTGACGTGGAATTTTAATATTAATTTTTATTTACTTTCCATCCAATAAAAATTAGGAATTATAAAATATAAATTACAAAATAAAAAATAAAAAAAATCACACCTCCCCCGGCCCCCTTCTCCGCCTCCAACCTCTCCCTTTCTCCTTCCTCTGCAATCACCACTATCGTTCCAAATCTGCACGTCGTTGTTGGAGTTCCAATAGTTATCGTGGCTTCGCTCGAACTCTGCTCGTCCCGGTTACAATCATGGAGCACCACCATCACCATCCACAACTCTCACACATAGCGACCAAGTTTGGAATTTCCCTCGATTCCGGTCACAACCATGGAGCGGCGCCGTCACAGTCCACAGTCATCAAACACTCTGCAAGTGAAAGCGACAAAATAGATTGAACCCACAAAATCGAAGGAATCCCCTATGACTTTGACCTCAATCGGAGGACCCCCTTTTCCCGTTTGCCCAAAATGCGCATCTCCAGAAATTAGTGGATCTGAAATAAGATTTTGAGGTATTATGGAGACGATGCAGTGAAACTACCACTCCCCTTCCCCTCATCATGTTGAGAAAAGAGAAGAGAGTGAAAGACACCATTCCCCTTCCTCTTACCAGTTCGAGAGTTATGGGAAGAAGGGGATTGATGAGGCTACTGTTAGAGGATGAATGGGGTCGGCGGGGAGTTGGATGCTAATCAGGCGCAGATCCACTTCAGCGCCGACGTGATTGAAGACGACCCGATGACTTATGGCCCGATGAAGAAGGCACTGATGGGAGCCTCATTTCCATCTTCCTCGCGTCTCTTCAACACAGTCACCGCCCATATTCAACGTCGGATTCGAAGGGTCGGATACGGTGGAGGACGGTGGAAGTGCTAGGGAAGAAGATTTTTGTTAAGAATTTTTTTTACTTTTTAAAATAAAATTATAAATAGTCCGATGTGTCAGCTGACGTGGCCTCCACATATGTGCCACGTAACCAAAGGTCAACATTTCACTGATGACCGTTAGGTCAATCGTTATCTTTAACGGTCAACAAAATTGCTAGGACATAAATGACACACAACAATCATATATCATGACACAAATGTCATATCGAATAGTTCGGGACACAAATGACACATTGTTTATAGTTCGGGTTTCCTAGTGGTATTAGCCCATTTTTTATGGAATCAAACCAACTAGTCAAGTTAATCAAATAACAATTAAGAAAGCGTGACTAGTCAAACTGACTATCGCTTATCAATTCTTTTTAAGTAGATCTGCATGATGTTATAGTCATCTACTAAAATCGTAACACAAAATCACTTGCATGTGCCATGCGTAGTTATATGATAATTACAATTTGTTCATTTCAAAATATACCAAAATGGGTATTATTGTTAATTTCAATTTGCTTATTTCAAAAAATTGAAAAATATAAACTATTTTATGTCCGCTCCAAATACCTATCCTAGATCGCTTCTAGAGCTTCATATCTAAAACGAGGATAATCAAAATCTTAAAACTCTAGTATATAAGAGTCGTACAAGATGTAGATTATGGATAGATGCAGAAGTTATGCGCATTGACCGTCGAGAGCACAAAACCGTAGTTGCATTAGAAAATTTAGCTACAGAATGCCGATGCCAAAACGTATAGGATTTCCCGCTAATTTGCTGAATGACAGTAGGGGTGGGCAACGGGAAACGGGTATTTGGGTATACTCATACTGTCTCGTGCTTTTAGGGTTACGGGTACCCAAATACCCGTAATTATTTTTACGGGATAGGACTTGGGATCAATAAGTTCTATAATGAGTACCCGCAGGTTACCCGTTAATACCCGTTTGGGTATTACGAGTACTCGTATTACCCGTCCAACCACTAAAATTGTCCTTTTATTTAGAAGATAGCTTAGTAATTCAACTAATTGAACTTTAAGGATTAATGAAAGGAGTTGAGGCGTACATAATTGGAAATCTTATCATAAGTTCGTTAGCTGTTGCAAACTAAGGTTACAGGGGGACTGCTGAGTAGCTGCTTTGGCTCAAGTCGCACTTGATCCCTTAGTTTGAAAACAACGAACATCAACCTAGCATGATGTAGCTACTGTTGGCTTAATGTTTTCTATTTTTTCTAGAGCGCCTTCCATGAACTTTCTCCTACTTTTGATTGATTGTAATTTTCAGCCTTAATGAGATAATGTCATATTTATAAAAGGATGAAAATTTCTGCGAGAAGTAAAGTTACATAACTATATGCTGTGTACGTTGCAGTTCTGGAAACACATAATCAAACTAGGATCAGTTGATTGTCAGGGTTGTAGAAATTAATTAATTAAGGGAATAAATTATAATATTTCATCTCGTGTATCTTATTAATGTCCTAGCATACGACTTGGCTACCAAGCAATCTCCCATTTCTTCCTTGTACTAATTGTTAGCACAACAATCGCTAATATGGGTTACCCGCAGGTACCCGTTATCCGTTATGTACGGGTATTGGGTACCGGTTAACCCGTACGGGTTTGGGACATGGGAAGTAGTTTTCTCTTCAAATGGGAACGGGTACCCGTTTTAAATGGGACGGGTACCCAGTCCCGTCCCGTCCCGTTGCCCACCCCTAAATGATAGAAGAGATGGAAAAGAAAACAAAATAGAAGTGAAAAGTAATCCCTACTACTTGATACTTGTTTATCAATTAATTTTCTTGGATTTATGACATGATTAGCCGGCCAATACCTACACTCACATAATCTCTTACAACAGTCCATGGCCGATGTGAAGAATCATTTTTCTCCCAGAAAATGACAATAGAGAAAAGAAGTGTATTCAGACGTCTCCGATCCACCATGTGAGAAAATTATATTATCAATTTTATTGGGCAAGTGATATTTTTCCCAAACAATCTTATAAATTGAATTTTTTTGCATTTTAGATTAAAATGGTGACATAAATGAGTAAGACATAAATTGGAAGCGTTATCTTAATCATAATAATCTCACCATTATCTATCACCCAAAAAACAAAAACATTAGAAAAACATTGTTCCTTTTGTTTTCATGTGCTGGGAGGTTGTTCGTCAACACCCAAGTGCACCTTGTTTTGGTTAATTAAGTAATGATAGTTGACAAAATCCAAAAGGGGATTGAATTATAGGAGAAATCGATCAGCTGAGAAGTCTGCAACAAGATATGCTGCCGGCCTACTCTGGTCAGAGAATAGAGCTCGATCGAGGTTCTGCATGCTTACTCTATAAATACCCAGTTCCCCATTTTCCACTCTTCCACCTAGCTAGCTAGCTCTCTCAGTTATAAATAACAAAACATATCCTATATATATTCCAATTAATATAACAACCGATATGGCTCCTCCTCACGCTATGATGGTGGCTTTAGCGATGCTGGTTCAAATCTGCGCCACCGTGGAGGTCTTAAGCTCCGGCGGTGTTGAAGCGGCGGGTCAAGGTGCCGCCGCCCACTTTGGCTTGGATCGGAGGAATCTTTTGGCCAATGGATTGGGTCTAACACCGCCAATGGGGTATGCATATATATATGAGGATCGTTCTTATGTTTTTTCAGTCCTTCTTTCTTGAATAGTTTATTTGATCGATGAGCGAACGATTAATAATGTATGAATATGTTTTTACTCTTGTTTTTATAAAGACTATGACTGAACTATTTGAGAACGTTAAGTTCGAAACTAGTATAAGTTCAAAAAAAAATTCCCCCTCCTTTGGTTTGAGGATCTTAGGATGGATACTCTTGATAGAAAAACTAACATAAACTATATATGTTCATTTTTTGTGATGAATCCAACAAGAATTCATATTGATAACTCTTTGGTGTGTTTTGTCAATTATCACCTACTTATGGTCCTTTAATTTGTTTACTTATTATAAAATTATGATATGATTTTACACAGGCAAAATAATATATGTTCATGACCTTTGTTTATATGCTGGTGTCTAAACAGGTGGAATACTTATAACCATTTCCACTGGACAATTTCAGAGAAGATCATAAGAGAAACAGGTTTTCTTTTTTCCCTCTAATCATTTCATATATATAATATAAACTAAGTATTTGTTAGTTATTTTTTTAATTTTATCAGATGTCCGCGCGAAGGAACTTTGTTTCATATATATACACAGGTTCAAGTCTTAGATCGTAGTTTGGCCAACTTGATACGATATATTATTGCTAAATAAATATGAAAATTCTACACAGGATTTAATTTAATTAAAACAATATTTTCTCGTAAACATGGAGTATATTGAGGTTATAGAATTGTGAAACCATAGCTAAAACAAAAACAAATGAGTTTTCTTCATTCATAGAGCTAATATACAATTTCTTGATGCATGTCTACAGTCAAGTGTGACTAACACTAGTATATCACTTTCTAATTTGTATTTGAAGCGGACGCCATGGTTTCATCTGGACTTGCTGCATTGGGATATCAATACATCAACTTAGGTGCTGCATATATCTATCTTCCTCAAACATGACTTTGTTGTATAACTACACCATTGAAGGCGACATTGCCCCGCACCTTTGTTTTTCTTTTCATCTCCTAAATTTCTCTTCCCTGTCTCTCTTCTTTGATGGAATGCATTGGAAGATGATGCCTGGGCTGAACGTCAGAGGGACTCTGCGGGAAACTTGGTTGCTAATGCAACAACATTTCCTGCTGGAATCAAAGGGTTGGCGGATTATGTTCATGCCAAAGGCCTCAAGCTGGGAATCTACTCTGATGCAGGGTAAGCGAAATCACCCTTTTCTCCGTTCGAATTCTATTTCGACTTGATGCATCAGATAATAATGCAGGAGTAATCTTTTGAGTTGTTGCAGGAATTTGACATGCAGCAAGCTACAGCCAGGATCATTGGGCTATGAGGAACAAGATGCCAAAACATTTGCCTCATGGGTATCCATCATCATACTATATGCAACATGATCTCTAATTCACTTCTCTACAAATGAAATTAAGATCATATTGAACTGTGTTTGATCATTTTGTTCTTCTACAGGAAATTGATTTTCTGAAATATGATAATTGCCATACTGATGGCACAAGCCCTCAAGTGAGGTATCCGATAATGAGTAAAGCATTGTTGAAGACAGGAAGACCCATCTTCTTTTCCCTCTGTGAATGGTACGTCATCCTTTTCCCCCTCTTCTTATTCTTCCAGATTCAATGTTGAACTACTGTCAATGTGTTTGTTGTTGGCAGGGGAGTTGAAGACCCTGCAACTTGGGGTCCCGGTGTTGGTAATAGCTGGAGAACAACTGGGGATATTGCTGATAACTGGGAGAGGTATCCTTCCCACGAAGTTGCGCCATAGTCCTACCTTAAAGAGAAAATTGTTAGTTCGATAATGATCCTTATTTTGCTTTGTACTCCCCAGAATGACAGAACGTGCAGATAAAAATGATAAATGGGCATCTTATGCTGGACCTGGAGGATGGAACGGTACACTCAGCATAACGCTCGTAACTATTTCACTTCTCACTATCAAAGACAGAGACTTATTCGTTCGTTTGAACATTTCCAATGTCTTGTACTACATGGGTAGATCCTGACATGCTTGAAGTTGGGAATGGCGGCATGACGACAGAGGAGTACAGGTCACATTTCAGCATCTGGGCATTAGCCAAGGCTCCTCTCATACTCGGGTGCGATATTCGATCGATGGACCTCGACACCCACCAAATTCTGAGCAACAGTGAAGTGATTGCAGTGAACCAAGGTAATATCAACGTATATGATGATGATCTACAAACACCATGGCTGTAATCCGACAAGTTGTGCTAAAAATGGGATGGTTCTTTTCAGACAAACTTGGAGTGCAGGGGAAGAAGGTTAAGAAAGATGGAGACTTGGAGGTGTGGGCTGG